TGTGTGTGTGTGTGTGTGTGTGTGTGTGTGTGTGTGTGTGTGTGTGTAAATTGTCAGGCAGTTCCCTGCTCATAAACACACCAGTGAAGGAGCCCTGCTGTGGTTTGAAGTGAGCCTCCTTGTTGGCCCTTCACAGCCAGCCCCCCCAGACTGGCTTGTGCTGGACTGGCCTCTGGACTACAGTCCGGTTTGAGTCCACCTCCTCCCAGCTTCCATCCAGCATCACATGCCTGTTTTCCCCACACTGTGCGGGGGCTCCCTCTCCTAATAAAAGAGGCTCATAACGCCGCGTTCCTTGCATTCTTTATGTGCAGGCTTCTCTCTCCCTTTTTCACATGCATGGACAGAGAAATGCAGACCGCCACATTAATGAAGCCAAACTGTGCACAAAGCGTTTAAATGTGGCTGAATGTTCTTGAGTTTTAAGATCGGTTTACTGTCCCATGTTGTGCTTTCACAACGTAGCGGATATCCACAAAACATTTGAAGAAGTTTCCAGGTTAGTTTCCAGGTTACCCGGTCCTTATTTTATCCCTCTTTCCCCCTAAACAAACTCTCTCTCCTCTCTGCGTCCCCCTTCTCATATCTGTCATTTTTGACGTCTTCCTTCAAATCGTTTCGGTCTCACCTCTCATACCTCTCTTAATGTCCCTCATCTCCTGCACTCACTCTGGGTACTTTCCTCCCGGTGCCTGGTAAGGGGAAGAGGAGAGGGTGAGATTTATCATTAACAAAGGCTGATTCTAGCGCTGAAAGGGAGCGCTGTCTGAAGAGTCTGTGTGAAGGGGAGCGCAGGCTGGGCTGCTGAACAAATTGGGCTTTTTATGCAGAGTATCAAATAGTTGCTTAAGAAGAAGGGAGGGGGGAGCACAATGATGAGACACAATGAGTGATGTGATCTAAAAGGGGTTGTGTTTGTGTTTTTGTATGCACGTTTTGGCCAAGTCCAAGCTGCTTAGCCATGGCAGAACTCCTCTTTAAAAGCAGCCTACAGTACGATGGTGTGTAGTCCAACGCTGCATGAAAGATCTGATGAGCTTGGGCAGCCATGAAGACTGATTATTACCATCTCATAAAAGATCTTTGTCCCCTCAAGACTACATTATCTCTGCTGAAATGACCAATAGTGCTGTGCTGTTATACGTCCAGAGTACAACTACACCATACTAGAACTGTTTCCAAAGGTCGGTGTTCATGAGTTTCATTTAACACATTTCTCCCATAAATGCGGTGGAATGTTGGACTACTTTATAGGAAATTGGTGTTTTATTATGCGCTAGGTTACATGTTAAATCAAGGTTTGAAAGACAGTGTGCAAATTATATCCAAAACTAACCCTCTGCATCGTTAAGAAGCACGCCTGCTCTGAGTCTGTAAGTCCGGGTCTGACCTGGCCTGGAACGGCACAGACCAGTGTAGTGGAGACAAACTCTTAACCAGCTGGGCTCCTTCTATGTGCATACATATAGTTCTGATACCTGTGGAAAGGTATGGGTGATCTTACTGCTACCTGAAAAGAAAATAAGTCTTTTTGTTTCTGGGTATTTAATATGAAGCTCCAACCAGCAGCTTAGCACAGCACAAAAAAGAAAGAAGTGACTAGCCTGGCTCTGTCCAAAGGTAACAAAATGAATCTACTGGTATCTCTAAAGCTCACTCATTAACATGTTATATATATTAATGTTCTTTCCGTACGAAGTCGTAAGTGTAAACCATGTGATTTGTCGTGGTTCATGTGTCGTAGGTTAGCAGGCAGACTCAGGAAGTCACGGGATAGTCCTGCACATAAACCTTTTTAATACCACAAAGTCTAACTTTTCACTTTCATGTGAAACCAAGCCGGCTGCTGCGTCCACTTCATATTGAATGGCATATAAACGAGAGGGGTGTTGATCTTCCCATCAAACTCGCGGGTATTTCCCTACATACCAAACTATTCAACGTTCCTACATTGAAAGAAACATTCAAACACCCATAAACCCATAACCACAGAAGGTCGGTAGGCAGCACATCATCAGGTTTTTTACTTGTCTCCAAAAGAACAAAAACATGACAGCATGTACCTCTGCAGGATACAGTTACACAGACTGCGAGTTCGCCAGCGGCACCAGTCTGAGGCGGTCGGTAAAGCGTACATCTGCCAAGTCACTGGTCCCGGATTCTAATCCTGTATGAGTCAATTTAGAGACAAGCCGGTAACAGCTTATCAGAAATTACACGCCTGTTCCAACTGATCACTGTTTGAATCACTGCTTTAACCTTCCTCCTTTGTGATGACAATAAGCCTTTTTTTTTTTTTTTTTTTCAAAGAAATGTGGAACTGACAGTCTTTCCAGGAACAATAGAAAAAGTTCCCTTTTTGTTATATTGAGGAACAAACGAGTGTTGTGGTTAAGGACGTGTTCTTCTGCGTTGAGTCCAAGGTGACGCGGTGGAGCACAGAGGCAGGGCCCAAGCCAGCCCTCCGTCAATATTTGCCTCAGTGAATGCCTCGCCACGGGCAGGAGAACAAACTGCAACAGTCAGAGTTTCTCTCAGAGTTCTCAGCTCCAGTGTTCACCCTCCTACAGCTGCCACTGAGTATGTGTGTGTGTGTGACACCTGTTCCCCATGTTCTCCAGGTCTGTGTTTATAAAAAGCATCGGAGCAAAACCACAGCACTAAGTGGTTAGTGGGTGGCTGCAGCAGCAGAAGCGTCGTTAGATGCTCAAATGTACAGCGTTTGTGCGTGTGTGTGCGTGTGTGTGTTGCCTAACGTTTGCATTGTGAGCTGCTTTCCGTGACACGCCATTAGCAAACAGCTTGGACACAGGCCACCCAGCGAGAACTGGACGCTCTGCTGTTTGTCACTCTCTCTCTCTCTCTCTCTTCCTCTCTCTTCCTCTCTCTACTCTGTCCATCTGGCAGGGAAAGAGAGAAAATGAACAGTAGTGCACAGGTGGGAAGAGCAGCCAGGATGACACAAAAGAAATGTGAGAAAAGACGCAAGAAGACGAGGACGACGCCGAGAAAAATTGGTGGAAAAAAACCCGAGGAGATACTAATGAGAAGAAAGGTGTGGATGTGTGGTAAAAGTGTGTACGTGTGTGATTCTGCAACACATGTGGCACGTAAAGAGACCGGCTTGTCTCATTAAGCAGACCTCCCAGTGACTTAACATTTCCCTGCCCAACCAAATAGAGCTACAGTGAACAGGAAGCTGTAGTCCTGTAACACAGGTCGGGGTTTTTGTTCCTAGTATTTATTTATTCTTACTTACAAATATACCATTTCAAAGACATCAAAGTTGTTTTTATCAGCACTCTGAAAAAGATCAGCTGACAAAGCAAAGCTCTCCAGTTTCTGTTTGCATAAAGTCAGGAGGTTATTGTGTGTGTGTGTGTGTGTGTGTGTGTGTGTGTGTGTGTAGGCCAACACAGCAATAAATAGTTCCTCCTTGTGGGCGGAGGTGTGCAGTGACTCACGGCGTAGTGAAACTCAATTGCCTGGATTGCTCAAAGTCATCCTCGCTGTTCCTCGTGTGCCGCTGTAATGAAGTCGTTCTTCCTGTTTTGCCAGGAGTTCTAGCAACCAGCGGCTTTGTTTGGGGGGGG